ATATGGGAAGATTTTGAAGTAAAAACAACCATGTTAGAGATGATGAACATTGAAAGCTTTGAGTTATTATACTGTAAGCATTAAGTGTATGTAGGTAGGTGCACTTAATGTGAAGACACGCGCAGCCCACCTCCTCTTCTTTAGCACATACCAATTTTTTTAACATGAAACACATGTGCCTCAATTCCTTAATTTTAGGAAATGGGTTTCAATATTTTTTTCCAAATTTTCAAATGATTTTATTTCTTAAACTGTAAAGAATTAGACAAAGTCTCTTATATCATTTTGATAGTACTCGATGAGATCTATCCACAATATCCATCATGAATATGTTTTTCGAAATTTTAAAAAAATTATGCAGTTGTCTTGGTCTCCTAAAAGACGCTCTAGTCTTACTTGTGTATTTTAGTAAAAAGACCTGGAACAAACACCAAATGCCAAAGGCCAAAGACCAAAAACCGAATACCAAAAAGCAAAGACCAAAGATCAAAGATCAAAATGAAGTGCGAGCGTGTGTAAGCACCAAATACCAAACACCAAACACCAAATATCAAAAAATCGAAGACCAAAGATCAGAGTGAAGAGCGAGCGTATGTGAAAAACAAAGACCAAAGACAAAAGGTCAAAGACTAAAAACCGAAAACTAAAGATCAAAGACCGAATACCAGAGTGAAGAGTGAGCATGTGTGAGGAACAAAGACTAAATGACCAAAGGCCAAAGTTAATTGGTTTAAAATAATTTATAAGGTTAATCGTGTTACAGCACAAACTAGGGCCTAACCGACACGGAAATGCTTAAACCCACCTAAACTCTAAACTACTAGACCCTAACCAACACGGAAATAGTCAAACCGCCCTAAACTCTAAACATACTAATTTTTTTTTTTTTTTTGCATAAATTTTTTTAAACCAATTAAGCTAGGGTCCCTAACCTAATTGGTTTTAAAAAATTTATAAGGTTAATCGTGTTACGGCACAAACTAGGCCTTAACCGACTCGGAAATGCTTAAACCCCTCTAAACCCTAAACAACTAGACCCTAACTGACACCGAAATGGTCAAACCCTCCCCCCCAAACCCTAAACATACTAATTTCTTTCTTTTTTTTGGTTTAAATTTTTTTGTACCAATTAGGCTAGGGTCTCGTTCCTAATTGGTTTAAAAAAATTCATAAGATTAATCGTGTTACGGCATAAATTAGACCCTAACCGACACGGAAATGCTTAAACCCCCGTAAACTCTAAACCCTAAACAACTAGACCCTAACCGACACAGAAATGGTCAAACTCCCCTAAACCCTAAACATACTAAATTTTTTTTTGGGGTTTAAATGTTTTTAAACCAATTAGTTAAAAAAATTTATAAGGTTAATCGTGTTACGGCACAAACTAAGCTCTAACTGACACGGAAATACTTAAACCCTCCTAAACCCTAAACCCTAAACCCTAAACATCTAGACCCTAACCGACACGAAAATGGTCAAACCCTCCTAAACCCTAAACATACTAAACATACAAATACCGAAGACCAAAGGCCAAACACCAAGAATCGAAGAGCAAAGATCAAAGATCAAAGACCAGAGTGAAGAGCAAGCATATATGGGGAGCAAAGACCGAAGACTAAAAGACCGAAAACCAAAGACCAAAGACCAAAGGGCAAAGACCAGAGTGAAGAACGAGCGTGTGTGAGGAGCATAAACCAAATACTAAAGAACAAAGAGAAAATATCAAAAACCGAAGACCAAATACCAGAGTGAAGAACGAGCGTGTGCGCGAAGCAAAGACCAAAACCAAAGGTCAAAAACCAAAGATCAGTGGTACAAACAAGCATGGCCATTGTGTCTTTCAAGAAGACCAAGGGAAATACATAAAAGTCAAACCTACAGCAACATATAAAAAGACCAAACTGTTTGCACAAAATACTTAGGAGCAACAAGTAAGACCAGAGTGCCTTTTAGGAAGACCAAGACAACTGAATAACTTTTTTTAAAGTTTCGGAAAACATATTCATGATGAATCTTGTTGGATAGATCTCGTCGAGTACTATCAAAATGATATAAGACATTTAGTCTAATTTTTTACGGATTAAAAAATAAAGTGATTTAAAAATTAAAGAAATTTTGAAATCCATAAACCCCAATAAATAAGAAAAAAAACACCAAAATTCTGCACATTAAGTGCGCAAATGAAAGCTTTACGCTGCATAATAGCGCATGAAGAGCACACGCCATTAAGTGCAGCCACCAAGCCACCAAGTGCAGCCACCAAGCTGCACTTAATGCGCAGCTTATAATTTCCGGAAAGCTTCATAGATTGAGATCCTCAAAACATCTTTTTATTGGCTTCTCTAGAAATGCTCATGCGATTAATGCCCCTTTGCAAAGCATTAGATCTTTACTTCTTCACTAAATATGTAGATTCACAATAAATTGATATATGCTTCGGGAATTAATAATCTGCAAGATATTTTTATGTCTTTTAAGTTTTTGGGCAGGTTTGGCGGTTAATGGTGCAAATTAAATGTTCATGGTGGTTTGAAGAAAATCAAATTAAAAGGGAAAAAACCATCATTTTTAATTTTCTTTTCGGTAGTGTCCTGTTTAGGGTTTATTTCTGGGGTTTGAAGTTCAGCTTGATTTGCCTTTTGATTGTAAGCTTAATTTATTGTTTTAAAGACTATATATATTTGCTAATTTCTTGGGATCATGTACATTTTAGACCTAGTGGATTTTCCTTTGTTTATTCTCTTTATGAGATTACATCGGAGTGTCTATTCCTATCACAGGACATATACAAACGGTTGAGGAAAAATATGGAAAAAAAAATAAACTTAAATGGAGCTCTATACATACATTTTATCTTAATTCTTGATGTTTGAAGGAAAAATACTTGACTTAAACGAGTCATATTTTCAAAACGAAAAATGTGATTTTTTAAGTGCGTTGAAGATTTTTATCAATTGAACTCGTTTCCATTTTGAATATTAATTTAGAGAATCTCTTTGGTAATGGTAACAAGATGAGTGCGTAATTGATAGATTTGAAGATTTTGAGCTAGGAATTAATCATCAAGGATTAATGAAGATCAACAAATTAATTTAAGAACCATCTAAGAACTTAAGCTCTTGTAATCCAGCTGAAACAGCTTATTATAATGGCCAAAATCACTTTTGCTCCTTGAAGATGGGAACTTGTTATTGTTCGTTCCTTAGACATGCAAAATCCAAAAACACCAAAAAATACCATTGGCATCTTTTTTTCTTTTCTTTTTTTTAAAAAAAATAAGCAATAATAATATTATATTAAATCCCAAAAATAAAAAAAGATATGGAATGCGCAGATACAAACGGGATAAGGTGAATTGTTACAGTCAGTCAATGAATATTTCTTACTTGTCACATGAGAAGTGAAGATTCTCATTAATGTGTAGTACCAAAACTTGTGTTTGCAAATGTAAGAACCAGTGTTCCTTTTTCTTTTTTTTTGAATAAATAAAAATCGATAAAATTGATAAGATGCCGTCTGCTATGGCCTTAATTGTGAGATTAAGATAATCTTATGAACGACATTCTTTTCATCTGATTGGCTAGTATGTGAGCAATTCAACTTTACAGCATTTTTTCTAGCATAAAATCACCAGTGTCACCTTTCAAACTTATCTTTCAACACCTTTCAATTCAAATTCATACCATTGGCATCCCCTTTCAGTTTATAAGAATGACTAGGTTTTCTTACCAAATTTGACCCCCAAAAAAACGTAGAGAAAGTTTGCTTTGGCTTTAATTGCAGAGATTTTATGAGTTGAAGTAGTTTGGAAATTGTATTCCTTAGTTTGGACTGGTAGCTTTATTTAGTTTCATGTCTTGAAAATGTGTTTTCATTACATTCTTAGATCAGCGAAAACGACCCTCCACACCTTTGGTTCTTCAATCTTCGAGCCAGTTGAAGTTCATTTGGCAATTTTCTGATTAGATTTTTACTTATGTTTGTTACCTTCTTTTTTTTTCTTATTATCATTTAACCTATTTAAAAAATCGTTATAAGATAATCTATTTCAGAAAAGAGATCGAATAGTGACACGATAATTTTTTCTATGTGCTTATGATCTAATAGATATAAACTCCAATCACACTCGTTACAAAATGAAATATCCCCTATGATTTAACTCCTCAATGGCTCAAAAACAAAAAATCAACGGAAGTTTGTATAAAGCTCTAATCCCAGCACCCCAACGCGATTTGCGGCAAGTATACTATGTAGCCAAAGGGAGACGCAAATTTCAACTTGGCAGCTATTAACGCCTTTGAAATCAACCCCATGTTTCTGCAGCCATGGCAAAATAAGTTGATGCAATTGAAAGGGAGAAATAAAAACAAATTTAAAAAACATCACAAATTAATTTGCACATCTTACTTCTCTTCTGCACAAAATATATAGACCCACCAATTATTATATTTCATGCGTGGTGCTTTTAGCATTTGCATTACTTTTTTTTTTTTTTTGGTTGATAGATTAATGTGTTTAGGGTTCCTTTTGGAGTTTGAAATCTTTGCACTTTTAATTGTGAGGTTTATTTTCTAAAAATAAAACAAGATATTCTTTCTTCTTGATTCCCGTACTAATCAATCAGTTTGAAATACAAGAAATCAGTTTAATCAATGTGAAACCTATGATGAAATGAGCTAATAACAGTGTTCTTTTTGAGTATTTTGTTAAAATTGAATCAATGATGAAATGTAGCCACATCGATCAGCCATGCCATTTTCAAAAGAGAGAGAGAGAGAGAGAGATCAGCCATGCAAAAAAGACAAAAAAAAAAAGGTAAAAAAAAAAACAAAACAACATAAAGACGCCGTTTTACAGATTTAGTGAATCTGCAAAACTTTCAGAAACAAAACCATCTGATCAAAGGAATTTGATGCATATTAAAAACAACAACAAAAAAAAAACACTTTCAGAAAAGAAACCATCTTGAGAGAGAGAGATATTGAGAAAAATAAAAAATGGCTTTACTGAGTGAGCTTCCCTTAGCAATCCTCACCACCATTTTGATTCTTCTCCCACCTGATGTCCTCATGAAGCTGATGACGGTTTGCAAAAGTTGGAAGGAGATGATTGAGAACCCGATTTTCGCGAAGCAGTATTGGAAGATGGCGGCCTCCAGAGGCGAAGATCACATAATGTTCCTTTCCAGGTATCATCCTGGTCCTGATCAACAGTCATTCAGCTTGCTGAATGGCAGAACTTTCGAGATAGATTCTCCATTGACGATTCCGCCAGCTCTCCAGCGGTGGAAGAAGAATCTAAGGGCTGTTGGTTCTTGTCGCGGAGTGGTTTGTGTTTCTGAACTGACCTCTTTCGGATTCAACTTGTATCTGTGCAATCCTTCCATTTGGAAGTATTGGACACTTCCGCCTTCAGGAATCAATGTAAGTCTTGCGAAAACTGTCTTTTTGGGATTTGCCTATCATTCTCAAGAAAGCGATTTTAAGGTTGTTAGACTCACTTATGGAGTGTTTAGGAATGATTTTCGTTGTAGTAGAACACATGGACATGATATCAAAGTTGAGCTTTACTCGTTTGTGAATAATTCCTGGAAGGATATCGAAGTAGGGTTTTTCCCTTGGTACATTTCTACCCCAACTTCAGAAGTATTTGTTGCCGAATCACTTCATTGGAAAGTGCTATTCGGCGACAACCAAATGCAAACTTTTAGAGCTAAGATATTAGCGTTTGATTTTAGGCATGAATCGTTCAGGGAGATTTCTGTGCCCTCAGATTCCGGGATTTCAAGATTATGTGATCTGGAGTTCTTAGGAGTATTTAGGGGTTTGCTTGGGGTTTTATCTTATTGTCCTTACAATGAGGGTGTTTATGTTGGGGAAAATCGGGATTTGTGGGTAATGAATGAGTATGGGAACCCAGATTCCTGGATTAAACTTTATACAATTACATTGGACATCGGTGTAGAGAGGCCATTGATGTTCACTGAGGCTGAAGAAATCATTTTCCTTGATATTGGAAGATATGCTTTTGTTTGGAACTTGGTCACTCGGAATATCGCTTACCTTGGAGTTAGGGTGCCAAGTGAATCCGATTTCTTCGTATTCACCAAATCAATGACCCTGGTGGATAAAACCAATGAACCCATTCAAGTTTAGGATGCCAGCTAATTATGCTGAGGTAAATTCAAACACCTAAATAGCCACTATCTTTAGTTAACTACTCTGATATATTTCTGCTTCTGCCTGTAATGACTAATGACCATTTGTCTGTGTTTTGGAATTGAATTTTTTAGGTTGCCATGGAGGAAGATGGACGATTCATTATCGCATTTCTTGAAGATGCAGAGTCCAGCGAGGCAACTTCAGTTTACTAGAATGTCATTTTTAGGGTTCATGGAAGTTGAAAGTAGTTTGTTGTATCATTTCAAACTATTTCAATATACTATTTTATAATTTGAAGTTTCTGGTAGACTCTTTTTTGGTTTCTTTCTTGCCTTGAAAATGTTTTCGTGAATATTCTTAAACTTGTGAAAATGGCCCTCAACTTTAGCTCAATCTTCAAGCCAATGTTAGGTCATCACTTGCAATATTCTAATATAGCGATGGGAACCAATTCGAACAAAACTGACGGAAACTGAACAGTGCCAAATCCATGGCTAGTACGTCTGCTTATTTAACACGAAAAGAAACACACCATTTACAAAATGTTACACTCACCCTAGTTCAAAACCAAAGAATGAATGAGTCTGTACAAAGCGAAAATCCAGGATCCAAAATTGCATCAAATCTTTCTATATAAAAATGGTGGGAAATTACAAATGGACAAGATTTTGACTATAATGAACTACATGTTCTACACTATTACTGGCTGTAAACTACTCAGAAAAACGGATACAAACCCGAACAATAACAGATAACAAAATTTGACGGTACATCTCGGGGTAACATCTAAAGCCGATCCATGGGTGTGAAGGCAATAGATTTGTTATCAGCAACCCGGTACCCAACGAATACTGAAATACAAAAAGCAACAAAGGAAAAGAGGAGAGCGAACCCACTGGCTGCACCCCAAGCACTTCCTGATGTCCCTTTAACTGGTGATGAGGAGGAGCCTGGCGCCACATCCAAGGATACCCAGTCACAGCTGATGGAATAATGTCCCGATCCATGCCATGGATGTCCATCAGTTGGGTACCAAAATGCAGCAGAAAATTTGCTTGATTGACCAATAGTGAATTGTACATCCTACAATATATTATGCAAAATCAAGGTGGTTGTTAAGTGACTTAGATACATCATACATATGCTGGAGTCCATCATAAATATAGCCTTTTAAAGCAAGCATGTCTGAGATCACTGTCACAGATCATACGACAAATGCAAATGAGAAAGTTCCTAGGGTCAAAAAATTAGTGATAGTGCACCCCTTTCAGTCCAACAGTATAAACTTGGTTACTAGGATTTTCTGGGGTCTTGTATTCCAAGAAAATAAAAGCCTATAGTAACAAGTGTTTAAATGCAGCCACTGTGAAGGGATTACCCAAGAGCTAGCATAGATTCATGCATGCAAAAAGCTAAATGACGATTGCAGGTATTGCCTGAATGAATCCTTGACTAATAATAGGTAAAAACCAAACCTGCTGAAGACGATCCATGGTTCTTAGAGGCCTGGAAAATTCAAAGAAATATGTACCCTTCTGTTTAGATGATGTATAGGGACTATCTTCTGCCACAAAACCTGTCGCACACAGGAAAATATAGGCTTATAAGGAAACTAAAAATGCATCGACGGTTATAAAAAAAAATAAGAATGCATCGACACGTCAACACCCATGCAAACTAAAAATCAACTCAAGAACTAGAATTAAAACAACTTGGCGTAAAAGCAGAAGGAAAATGAATGAAAGGAAATTGATTTTAGACGTCAAATCTTTAAGTACGAAGAGTTGAGGACCAGACCAAACAGTTGGGTCTACTTTTGAGCAAGTGAATAAAGCAACAGACAGTTGAACGTTTTAAAGAATGATGATACGATCAGATTAATCAGTCATCGAAATAAAAATAATTTGAACTGATTCAACACAGAGAAAGTAAAAAGGATAATAACAAGCATACATATGAAACAATACGTGAAGTTTGCTTCAAGGCAAGTGATGCCTGATTTGTATCACAACACAATAATAAATACTATAAATAGTCGATGTCCTTCCTGGAATCAGGTCTCATATGTAAAGTGTCTTCAAAGATTCACCTGAATGGGTGGTAAAACTGCTGTGCCACCATGACCCTCTCCAATCATTCTGTGCAGTGTCATTTCCTGTAAAAGGAAGGAAAGACGGTGAAGATAGATAAAGTAAATGATTATGCAAAAAGGCTAAGTTTATCATAAAGTCCATCATGTTTCATATTTAATACTGCTTCAATACAGCAAACAGCTGAAACATCATATACAGATTCCGACTCTGCTATTGAGTAGTCCAAAAAAACCTGATTGCTTGTCACATGAATAGTATGTGATGATTTCTTATTAGTAAAACAAATTGGTGTTACTGACTGTACTTCAACCCAGGAGGAAGACAAAAGTTTCTGTTTTCACAAATGTTTCATTGAAGGTGTCTGATACATGGAAATATCTTAGACTGCATGTGTCATGCATTATTCAACCAGACAAAAAGGTAGGAAATACTCTGGGGTCTTAAGAATCACCTGAAGAACTAATCCCATCAAGGTTCCTGCAGTGTGGATTCCAAGCATACAAATCAACTAAATGGCCGAACCTGTTTAATACAAATGAAATTATGTCACAATAGCCATCATCAACCACCGCCAACTAGTTAATAAAAATCCCTTAACAAAAGCTACCTGTCTCCTCCATTACCCTCCTGGTTGTCTATCGGATTCCCACCGTACAACCGACCAGGCACAGCATTTCCAAGGGAGAAGTGCATGATGTCTACTTCATATCCACGGCAACTCGTTCTATTGCATGTACCTGGAGATTCTTTACACCCGCCCATCTGGTTCCATGAAGTATAATTACTTATTTAGCAAAGAGATCATCATAGAAGAGAAAAGTTTTATAGACACTCTTATGTCAAAAAGAGAGTTATACTCAAAACTTCCCAAGAAATAAAGACAAATCAGTCCATGTATACCAATTTCATTGAAGAAGTTGTTACTTACATCGTGATAGGTAGCACTGTCACCAACTTGGAACATCAATGCTACAGAAGGGCATCCATTATTATTTCTGTACCATAGAAAACCCTCATTAATTTACCTCATGAATACCAAATGCTGAAAATTCTTTAAGCGCCCACAATAACAATAGATAATTAGATTTCTAAACACGAAGCTAACTTTACAATCAAGGAAATTTAAGATGTTTGAAATGGGAACTGTATAAATCAAAACATTTCCTAAATTAACTTGCTCAAACAAAAACATTTAGTCGGCATTTTCAGACAGCTGAAATAAGAATACTGCAGACTGTTCGAGGTAGACCAACCCATCAATTGCCTTAACTGAGAGAAAAACATAAGCTTTTCCATCTACTCAGAAGGATGTAAGAATGAAAAGAGTCCATAACGGCTGTTACTGTAGAATAAAAATGGAGGTGAAAACCAATTTTCTACCAGAGATAAAGTCTTTAAACATGGAATAAGTGGAAAAGTTATAAATTATAAATTTATGTCCTTGGAGGACAACATGTTAAGTGCTAACTTCATAACAGTATTTAGAATAAGTCTTACAATTATGCTTTCCAGTGACCAGTAAGTGTGTATCAACGAACGGTTAGTTGTTTTCAATTCTGAATTGTCTAAAAGTTAGGGTCTTTGTGGATACTAGATCCTCCATGTACATAATCATTCTGTAGCGCACTTGCAGGGGATATCTAAGCTAACAACTATTCTTTAACACAAGGTATTGATTAAATGAATGCCAAAAAATGCCGCATTTTTGCAGTTGTTGAAAAATTAAGACTCTTGAACAGTTATTCTTTATTCATTAGTATGCCAAAGGATACCCACATGCAAGTTACAGCTCCCCCCAATCCAACGAATGATATAAAACCTAGAAAATTTAGAAGACTTTTCAGACACACCATGCACGTCCTAAACATTAAACAGTGAATTACTGATGGCCTAAACAAGCAAAATCAGAAGTTTGATAATGCCTTTCCAAAATAGGTCTCACTTTATACATAATGGTCATCAAACAAAGTCATTTCCTAGAACTGATGAGCTCAATATAACATGGAGAAATGGGACTCGCAATTGAAAGACACAGACTCTAATCCTCACTTTAACATACACAGTTGGTTATTTGACATCTTATTGTGGCGTTGCCCTATTCACTAACATATTTACAACAATGATGCACTCAACTGTAAGAATGATTAATGTAATACCACCATGACAGAAATGACGCCACTTGAACCATATGTAAAATTACCATATCTATAGTACTCCCTCCATTCCAAAATATATGTCGTTGGAGGAGTTTCACAAAGTTTAAGGAGATAATAAATATTTGATTAAAATACTAAATTAACCTCATCTATTCTCAATACAATTCTATTTCAAATATCATTTAGTTCTAATACACTTTTACTTTAAATACAATTACAATTTCTCATGTAAGGGCAATGTTGGAAGAAGTTGACAAAATATGCCTAGATATGTGAAAACGACATCTATTTTGAAAAAAATTGGTTTTCTTCCAACGACATATATTTTGCAATGGAAGGAGTACTAAAGGTATTAATGGGGTCCTGTCCAGAAAATGCCCTCGCTCTTAATGAGGCTGCACAACATTTTTCACTCACCTGCATGTCTGACAGAATTAAAATTATATCTGTCTTAAAGTACTCATAACAGTTGCGTTCAGACAAAGTCCCATATATTTGCTTTCGCAGCAGAACTACTTCATTCCTTCCCTCCTTCCAAATTTATTTCTTAACTCTAATGTTTTATTCTTATACTGGCACCAATGCCCTCCATTTTATCTTAACTCTAACTTTTAAATTCTTAAACTGATGATTCTATTTATCTTTTTTCTAATGCTTGAAGGAGTAGCATGATTTTACCCCTTGAAAATAAAAACCGAAGTGGCCTTACTTCTTATTGACAAGAGTCTTAACAGATTCCACAAAAAGTGCATCCATCTAGACAGCATAGATGAGAACTTAACTAAAGGGCAGTAGACCAGTTAATATTATTACCAAAACTAACCACTCAGTTTCCATGGTGGTCGAACAAAGATTCAGTACAATGCAACAATCTCAGCAAAAAAACAGCTTTGGTTCAACAAATTAAACCAGATTCAATCCGTAAAAGGATGAAATTTGCACTAGAAACTATCTTAGCCATCTCAGCTGAGCAGAGGAACAGAACAAAATGCAAGCCAGAGCAAAGAACCATGAAAACTGATAAAATTACTGAAAGGAATTCTCAGAGAGTCACAAATCAAAATTTAGAACTAACCCTTTCGAGTACACATAATCACCATCTACTTGCATCAAGAAGAACACATCCTTCCCATCATGCAGAGCCTATAACCAAAACAATCAAAGAAACACACCAGTTAGATACAATTAATCCCCAAGTGTGGAAAAACCTCATCAGTTTCCAACGAAATAAACTGAACGCAATTGAAATGGAAAAAGTCAGAGTCAACGATACGAACCTTAACGGTCATCTTCCCGCCATTGTAGGCCTTATCTTGATCCGGGTCGAGCGCAGGGAGGAGCGGGAAATCAAACCCGTAAACATCTTCCCAATCATCGGCGTGCCCGTCGAGTGTGACGACTCCGGGCTTGAATTCGGCAACAACTCGTGATTCGGAGTCGGGCTCGCAGTGCCAGTCGCCGGATTCTTCATGGGACGTCACGAGTTGAAGTCGCCGGCATTCCAAGACGGCGAGGACGACGAAGAAAAGCCGGAGCAGCGACATTATTTGATCGGAGAAGTAGCAGTAGAACGGTGTCGTGTCGGGAGCTGGATACAGAGGTCTCTGGTCTAAATTGGTTGAAGAAGCCGCCCATGAAGAAGGAAAGACTGGGTTTTTTTCGGTTGTGGAATTATTATAAATAAAAGTCGTAGTACTACGAAGAGATTAAGGAAAAGTACAAAGTGTACAACTGTTTTTTCTGGGATGGTTCCCATTTTCCTTACACATAATCTTGTACTCTAATTTGTACTACATATATTAAGTCATAATTGCTTGTTTTGCTTTTCCACTTGAGTTGTTTAATGATTTCTTTCCCCTTTCTTTTGGAATCTTACGTCTCCAACATTAGTGATGATGTTTGTTACAGTTTGATAGTAGATTCTAGCACTAAGACACCAAGTTGGATTGAATATTCTTTTCCTTGTATTATTAGTTGGATGTAAAGCGTTTAAGACATATTGCAATAGATCAATCATTACTTGGTGTAACAACTTTTACAGAGGTAGAATTTTTTTCTTTTTTTTTTTTTTCTAAGAGTAATACATTTGTATGTAAATGTATAATGCTAGTTATATATTTGACATGTATATGATATACTCCCTCCGTCTCATAATTATTGTCCAGTTTCGGTTCTCATTGTTAGTTCAAATTGTACTAAAAGTGAAATATCAAACTGGACAACAATTTTGGGACAGAAGAAGTATCTAATTATCCACTCATTAAGTTCACAATTGTTTAATTAGTATTAAAAAATGTAACACAAATATGTTGCAAAATGTCGCAACATATAAAAAAGTGTGACAAAATCATTTTGATGTTTTTCAGGCTTTGCTTTCAGAGCTACGACTATGATATTTATCTCTCTGCTTTTGTCGATACAAATAAACAAGTTTCATAACACGTGAATATATTAGGTTATGGGTAATCTACAAAGTACACTGTGGGCATCGGACTCACTATTTAGTTCATCTTTTGTCAATTTTTGTCGCATATATATTCCTTATTGTTGGTCATGTTGTGCAAGCTAAAAAATTAAATAGAAAATCCAATGAGTCTTACCTTGTTTGGTCGGTAATCTTTAAATGCCAAGTTAGGCAAGTAATTAGTGCCATGCGACTAAAATGTCTAATAAATCTATAGTTCTAGCCGGAGCATAAAAAAAAATAAGGGAATCTGCAACTGCAACCGTGAATTCATCATTGAACAATAATTACAGCGCCACTCACTAATCATGACTTTAAAAGATTTCGAGCAAAAGCCCAGATAGCCTAACTGCTAGTGATCCAAAGGGCCTGTCTAATAGACCAAAAAGTCCTAAAGAGATTCATGGAGTCCTTCAGACCTCTGGCCTGTTGCATGTATTCACAATAGATATATGAAGACTTGGATGGTAGGCTTTCAAAGCCCAAACAGTCCGAAAATATATAGTAACAAACTTCAAAATTTTCATTTCCAGCTATAGTTAGAAGGTAGAAATTATATAAATTTAAGAAAGAATCAAAATTAAGAGACATAATGGTAGATTTAAGAAAATTTGGAGCATAATTATTAAAAACAACTTGAAACATTTAAAATTTATAGGATAAATTATGTATTAATCACTCATACAACCCACCTATGCATCATTCCCATCATCCTACATTGTATTAGTCGGATGCTCAAATTTCATTCTCACGCCACTAATTCAAGCCTCAATTTTAGATTGAAACCAATCGAACAATAACACAAGCACAACCTTAATCGATAATCGTTATAAATTCGTTGATTCGGCAGAAAATACAATATTTCTAAAACTGTTGATTCGACACGAATACCTCGAATTAATGCATCAAAACCCTTCTCAAGAAATTGGATGGAAGAACACATTCAATTTTATAAATTCATCAAAAAAGTACTAAAGTTTACAACGACAACTAAAGTCTTAAATTGTAAACAAAAGAAATAATTCTTAATCAACTAAACTAAAATGAAGAGAATATTGTTGTACAAAGATACTTAAAACCCTAAACTATTTTAGTTTTTTCCGTCCTTCATCACATTCTAGACTAATAGATTCACTAATAGAGCCTTCAACTTATATTAACCGTGACCCCTTTTTTTCCTTTTCTGTTTCGAAACTATTATTAATATTAAATTTTCAGTTTTAATATAAATTGAACAAACATTTATACCGGACAAAAAAATTTTGAATTAGGGAGTAATCATCCTTGTCGATGGTAAGGAGAAGAGCACAGTAGAAGTACGTGGATGACGTGATGAATCAGTGTAAGGTAAGTCAAATCATCACCACCACCACCACTATCATCATCATCATCATCAATATTTTTTTTCCGCTGACAAGACTTTTGATTACTCCATTTATGATAAAATTCAAGAAATAATAACCTCAAAAACAAAAACCAAAAAAAAAAGAAAAGAAAAGAAATGTCAGTTTTTAAAGTGACAGAGACAGAAAAGACAGATTGACGGTGACTTCTCCCCGGCCATCCGGCCATCATCCTCTCTCTCTCTCTCTCTTTCATCAAAAATCCGACAGCACCCCGCGGCCTGCACGGGAGCTTTTCCCTTTTAATTTCGTTTTCCTTTTTTTTTCCTTTAAAAAATTCTCAGACGGATGGCCCTCCGATCTGCCACGTCAACACACACACACACACACACACAAAACAAACACACTGATGTTTTCTTCTTACTTCTGTCTTTCTGGGTATTCGTACAACAACTGTTTGAATGAATGACTGCGTGAGATTGTGGGGACTGTGTGTGAAGAAAAGGTTGAACGACAACAGTACTTCAGCAGAGGAATCTAATCCAGGCTCTATATTGTGCTGCTTAGTTGATGGATATTGTATTAATCAGAGTAAATTGATGATGATGATGATGAGGCCATTCTATAGTTGACTGCTTCACAGTTGTTGCTTTCACAAATCTCTCTTTTTGTTTTCTTTCTTTTTTTCTTTTTTTTTTTCCTTTCTTTTTCCAGTCATTTTCTATTTCTCATTCCATTATAAAAAATTTCTGCTATCAACGTCATTACATTCTTTTTAGTAATTAGTTTGGTTCCTGTGTCACTTTAACAACATTGTCACTCTTTTCATTATGTCCAATAACTAAATTAAAAATAAACGAATAATATCGATTACCTGCATTTTGTTCTAATCACACTTAATCATACGATTCGGACTATCAAACAATTTATCACGAAAACAAAATAAGTATCCATCCCACTTTAACAACGTTACACATCACTTTTAAAGTCAGTTCCAATTCTATACATCCATTTGCCCTTAAGTGAGTTGTGTCCCTTCGGTGACATCCGAGAAAAAAAAAAGTGAGTTGTAAATTATATTACTCCCTCCGTCCCATAATTATTGTCCACTTTGCCCAAAAAATTTTGTCCCAAAATTATTGTCTAATTTGATTTTTTATGGATCAAGTTACACATTTGTCCTTAGTAAAAAACATTATCCATAAAATCTTAGTGGTTAAACAATTACTTAGGGGTATATCCGGATGTTTAAGGTAAAATGTAGTTAAGTTTGACCAAAAATAAAATCTTTCATTTTAGTAAAACTGGACAATGATTATGGGACTCGGAGGGAGTACTTATTATGCAGGTCATATTTGTTTCATTAATTAGTTCTTTCCAATCAAGACACATTCAATTGCGGGGGAGGAAGAACACAAAGGGAATATTAACATGTGAATAAAAAATACTTATGGTTGATTTTCTAAATAGTTGTACATATAAAATCAAAGTGACAATTTTTTTTTTTTTTTTTCAAACTGAGGGAGTGTTAGAAGATAACAAAACAACTAAAAAAGTTAACAAATTTGGTTATGAACAACATAAGAGTGCATTTCCCTAAATGAACTTCTGCAAATTAAACAAGATTAAGGCCAAGACTCTTCTTTTGTAAAAAAAAAAGTAAAGAAAGATAAATTAGTTAAATTTGAATGCATGCATAATGTACTGATAAATTTCAAGTTGAACTATTTTTATTACACTTTTTTTTTGTGTGTGTGTGTGGGGGGCGGGGTAGCGGATATTTTACTACATTGTGAAGTTTTATTCTATGGAGAGATTAGGACGATTTGATATCAATATATCAAGCTATTAACTTTTTGGTATTCGATAAAATCAGACATGCCCGCCAAGCACTATTTGGTTAATGGAAAAAGGGAAAAGTTACATTGTGCTTGTACCTTAAATTTGTCTATCATTTCCATTCTCAAGCATGTCATTTCCACCACATTCATGGTAATATTTCTTGCATTGGGTAGTAAAATACTAAAATGTACTAATGTGAGCAAACCCTAAACGATATCCTACACAATCCAAGATGAACAACACATTTGAAGGAACACAAAACTAGGTAACTGATACCCTAACTTAAAATGTACAAAAAGACATCAAAGGCATGAGTAGAGGTTTGACCGGTAATCTATCTCCAGGTTTACTAACAGTTAAACCTACTACAGCTTGCCATTGCCATATCCTGGACCTCCAAGAGATAGAACTACCCCTAAAAGTTCATTTTTGTGATTTGGATCCGCATTTGACGATGCAGATGATCGAATGGCTGAATTCGATCTTCTAAATTGAGCTAGTTGAAACTCTGGAGAATGAAGTTTAGTTGGCTGATTAGGTAGCCTCACTCCAAGGTTTGAATGGTTTATACAAGTGTTCACTTGATTCACCATGGTGTGGTTCGTGCGAGTAGGAGGCCTCTGATAACCAAGATTTACCTCTCTTGTCATAACCATAGGACCCTTCAAAACGAAATAATTTGAGGTCATTTTTAGAGGTTAACAGGAATTCATAAAAGTATGTCACCAATGGAGGGGCATATAAAAAGTATTTGGGAACTCACCGGAGCAAAAAGTACTCCTCTAAATGTCTTTCCATTAACAGTAGCAGTCATCAGGTAACCAGAATCAAAAGCTCCATCAACTTTACCACGAACTTCAGTTCCAATCTGATCATATAAGCAAAATAGTAAATAATTTTACACTAACAAATAGTTTTAGGAACAGGATTATTTATTATACGAAAAAGGGAATAATCAACTAGAACCGCTAGATAATAAAGGAAAATCGGAAGTACCATACCATGCTGTGGAACTGTCCTGTTCCCAAGGACCGTGCCTCAGTTTCTGGAAAATGTACTTCATCATGGTTAACAGTGCGGAGGTTGACTGGTTTTGATTGAGTTGGATGTTCAGTGAAAAAATGTCGATCAGGCTCAATCCTGGGGCTCATAATTTTGGAGGATGGCTGGATGTTGACAGGAATTGCATTGTGCTGCTTGAGAATTGGGAACACCTTGGGAACTTGGACATTGGGGACCTTATTAACGGTGGTCTGTCCTTGATCTGATTGAGATGGAGATGAATTTGGGGAAAGTGAAACAGAATGCTCTTCAGTAGCCCCTGATTCAGCATGGAATATCTTCGAATTATTCACCCTTCGCCTTTTCAAATGGAAAGCATCTTGAACAACCAAAAATAAAAATTTTGTTAGCAAAACAATTCATCTGCTTCTCAAGAGTGCTGAAATATTTGTGCTAACTATAAGTTTATTTCAATGCTAACCTGAGTCGAGGCTGAAAGACCTCTTTGGTAATGCAATCCGTTCTTCAGAATCCCTTCCCATAAAGCTTTCACTTAAGCTTATAAACTCTCTTTCTTTCTGCAGAAAGATCATGGAAGTTCAATCAGGTACTACCAAAAAAGGAAAACCCTGAAGAAAGTTTAAATTGAGTTTCCGGAGGCTCTTACCAGATTATTCGATACTCTCTGAGACCTTGTGGTTTCCACATTGCACTGGTTGCCAGTAGCTAAGTGTAGAGGCATCTTATACAGTCCATTGTTTTGCTCAACACCAAGCTGCAGGGTGAGTAACTCATTGAGTGGGCGCTCATCCTCTCCGCAACTACATAATTGAAACAGAATTTAGATGAAACAGAAGTTGCGGAACAAGATAGCGTTGAAAATTTCTAGATGTAGATCAAAGCATCACCCTCCATAGATTGTTATATCAAAGTTTGTGGCCACTGCAGTATGCGAAAATCTTCCTTGTGGTTGCCGGCCACAGATGTCCAGCCGCGTCCATGAACATGAAAGAACATCAAGGACCCAAACATCATTGTAATACTTCTTATGAGCAACCCCGCCAATCACATACACCTGAAATGACCAAAAAAATATTCAGGTTCAAAATGCCTAAAGATCATAAACTTCAGCATGACCTGATTCGGATTTGAAATCAATACACAGTCTTACTTTAGTGCCAAAATTCACAGAAGCATGACCTGCTCGAACATCGGGTAAAGGACCATGGACATCCATCTGATTGAACAAGAGCAATAAATTAGCACAATGATCTACAACTTTTCAATTTTCACTAGCACTAAGTTGAACTTTCATCTAAAATACTTCAACAGAATGAAAGCAAGGGAAACGTAAGGAGTTTTTACCCTGGACCAAGCCAATGTTTCGATATCAAGCACGTCGACATCACCCTGGTATCGATCACCAGAGTCTCCACCATACAAGAAAAGCCTGCTACCAATTGCCACAGCACAGTGACTATCTCTAGGGACCGGGACATTTCCTTGTGTTTCTGGTGAAGCCCAACTCATGGTTTTTAGGTCTAGAACATGCAAATCATTCAGATAATTTGCTTCCCCTTCTCCACTTCCTCCAAATATCACCAATTTTTCGTTTCCAACTAGAGTAGCAGAGTGGCTCTCTCGAGGAGAAGGAGGAGTTCCTTTGCATTCGGGTCTTGTCCACTCTCTAGACCTGAGATCTAATATATGCACATCATTGACCTTCTCGGAACCATTGGTGCCTCCAAACACAATCATCCTATTTTCGACAATTACGGCGCTATGGCTGTCCCGCGGCCCTGGCCCCTGTCCTTTGGTCATCAGAATACTCCAATCCATCCTCTCCAGATTCAGTACCAAAACATCACTAAAATGCATCCCACCACAACATCCCTAAAATGAAAGGCAAAAAAAAAAAAAAAATACTATCTTTAAACTGTAGGTGATCACAGAAAAGATGTTTTGCTTCTGCTTTTGTTGATGAAACATTATGAGTACTGAGATTAAAAATGCTACTCTGTCTTCTTACTGGAAATAGAAAGAGCAACTACCTAACCAAGAATGAATTTCCAACAAGACTCAAGTGCAAGAAAAAAGAAAAAAAGCAGAGAAAGAATTTATACAGTTCAACGTGGATCTTCTGAACTCAGATCACACATTAATATAGAGTAGAAGAAACAAAGATGATAAAAGAGGAAAGTAAAAACTTGCGGAGGAAGTGCAGAGCACTCTGCTTACCCCAAGGAAGTGCAAAAAGAAAAAGTACAGCCAAAAGGAAAGGGACAACTGAGAGAAAACTCATCAAACCAGAAACTGAGAAAGACTATCTAGTACGTTGGAAAACCATTGATACACATAACAAGAGAACATGCATCACTAATTTTAGAACAAACAGAATGTCAGGAGGTTTCAAAGAAGCATAAAAGCAACCAAAATTTGATGATCAAATATATATCAGATCAGTATTATTCTTTCTCATCGCGCAAAGAAGAAAAAAAAAACAAAAAGAACCCAGAATTTGCAAGCAGAAAGAAAATTTTAGACATACCCCAAAGATATAGACTGAACCACTGGAATAGCAAGCAGAATGCCCCCATCTTTCAGAAGGACAGAAACCAGCAACTTTAGGATATAACCACATCGCCTTCTTCTTTGCAACTTCACTTCCAAGAGACCCCATTATTTATTTGTTCTTCTTGGTTAATTTCCACCCTCAAAATAACCCTCTCTTTTACTCTTCTGTTTCAGGTAAAGCAAAATGCAGAGCACATGGGATAGGAGACTTGACAAGATGAAGAATATGAAGAAGAAGAAGAAGAACACAGAGGAAAAAAAAAAGGTATAAAACAAAAAAATTAAAGAGCAGTATTGCTAATACTACTATGCTACTACTAAAGAGTCAAAAGAAGACATTAACAAAGCCAAGTGATACATCAACTATCAGTGTCAAAATAGGAGAGAGACATGAAAAGATGGGCGCTTTCAAGTCTAAATCAGTACTGTGCCACCAAAACAAGGACGACCCTTTGCTGACCAGGACACATGCAAACACTACTTAAAAACACTTCCTTAAAATATCCATGATTTCTGCTTGTTTTACAACAACATTAGGAGGGATTATTGCATCCCTTTTCTTTGTTATCTTGATTAGTAAGGGAAATGGTGGCACTAAATGTCTGATTATGTAAGGCCTAGTATTAAAAAGTGTTGTATTTTTCAGTTTTGATTTTGGTTGGGATCAATGGATGGTGGAGGAGCTGTCATTAGTGCACATCTTCCATCCTTCTCCCCAAGTCCCGAGTTTTTGGCCAAACCCAATCTTCAAGGTGATGGTCTAGAATTCTGAATATTTGATTAGATGTCCAATCTCATTTGTGAGTTTTGGTGGGACTATATTTTGGATGCTTTGTACAACGAGAATTCTTTGGTGTTTTTGGGAACTGAAATGGCTACTGTTTCATTTATTCATCTTTCTTTGGGTGGAGTGTGTTGTTTTCAATCAAGGCTACCATCTGTTTTTTTTTTTTTTTTTTTTTCAAAAACAATCTCTTTCCATTTGTTTTTCTTTGTAATACGTACAATCTAATACTTCCTTCATTTTAAGATAAATGTAATTTTAGTAAAATAGGAAAATTTTAAAATAAATGTTGTTGTTTGATTCTGAGTGCAATTTTTAGCCAAATTTTATAAAATTACCCTAAAAAGAAATAATACAAGTGGTAACTATTTGTTTTAGTGGAATTGTTTGAAGATACTGTATTACTAATTTAACTATTCTATTTAAGTGTTTTTAAATTTTATATAAATAATCTAATTATTTTAGAATAGAATAGTAGTGTAATTTCCTCCCGAAATCATGATGACAACGTTTACTCTTTTCTCCTTTATCTTTTTTTTTTCCAGATTGTAAGGGCTATCTTGCCGTTTTTTTAAAAAAAAATAGTTCAAGTTGAGTATTATAATTTGTATTAAAAAAATAGTACAAAATTCAAATTTAATTCTCATTCCGTCCCACAAAAATAGTTCACATTGAATGTGTACTCTTTTTAATATAAATTTGAAAACTAAACGTGTATTATTTTTTTTGGGAACAAAGGTAGTATGATTTTTTTTTTTTTTTGGACAAAGTGGGTAATGTTAAGTTTGAGACGCTATGTAGTTAGTAATATTCGTCCATTCTAGTCATCCCAGTTAACCCTACTCATATGATCACTATAGTCATATGAATATATAATTGGTAACGTTTGGTTTGTATTATTCTAAACATAACAACAGATGTAATCTTTTGATGATCAAAATAGAAATTTGTCATTTGCTATAGCTAGCATGTTTAGTTTACTCTAAAAAAATTGTTATATCCTTTTTTTATAATGTAAGTCCAATTTCTACATTGGGTTGAGGTAAATTGTATTTAATTCATTTAGTTTTCTAATACATAATTTTCTTTTTTCTCCCAATTTATACTTGTCTTTTATAGAATTCCAATGTCATTAACCACTTGTGTTGGAGTCCCATTAAAAAAAATTACTACTACTAAGTACTAGTTTGTCTAATTAATTAGGGGTAATATAAAATTTGTACATTTGTTAATTGATCATTAATTCTTGTGTTGACTGAGATTGGGAAAAGGAGATAATAGTAAGTGAAAAATAGTACGCAGATGCTTTAGGATATATGGATGGTGGTTATTAATGGTGATAGACATAGTATGGTGATGGGTACAATCAAGCTAGCCAGGTCTCTTGTGGAGGTCAATCACAGTCCCAAAATTTCCTTTGGCCTAGAAATGATATAGTAGGAGCTAACCTAAGGGTTTATATGTTCAGCCTAAGAAAATGAATGATTGATTGATGGATTTTAAGATATTTGAGTAGGGGGTTTCCACTCCATAAATTGGGTCTAAAATGCACCCAATGAATGTGAGAATGTGTACTATGTTCTCAATGCAATAAATACGTTGTTCATTGTTCTCTTCATTTGAGTAACAGTTGCGTTGTTGTAAATCTGACTATAGAGTATGCACACTATCAACAACTTTTTATTTTTTATTTTTATATATATTTGGAAGTTTTATAAATTTATAATCGCTTTTTATAAAAGGAGTGGCCGATCTATCTAACAAAAGATTACTAAACTCATCCGCGCGGTTATCAAAATATGTAATCACAAGACCTATGAATACCTTCCTTAGCTAACATATCCGTTACTCCACTATGAACAAATATTTAGAGCATCTCCGATAGTTTATACTATTAAGGATATAATGTAATTATCATATTATCATTTTACAGTTTGTTTTAATTTTCTCCACACTGATTTTTTGCATTATAAAAGTAATACAACATTCAATATTATTATACTTTATGTAATAGTAAAGAATGTAATTAGTTAGTAAAGAATGTAATAAAGATATTTTAGTCTAAGTAATGAATATGATAATCAGTTTAGTTAGATGAAAGTTTGAACTTTTAGGACAGATTTAAATAGTTGTTGAAAGACAACTACCTCAGAATATTATATATACTTTGGGTGAGACTTAATTTCAGAATAACTTATATTTGTTTAGGATATATTTAGATCGTATTTTCAGTCTGTGTTTTTAAGTTTTTTTTTTAGATATATATATATATATATAATGTATTAGAAATGTAAAAAGTTATGTTGGAATATTAAAATTATGAATAAAAATATTTAAAAACCATTATAAAACCAAAAAGACACTTCGAATTACATTCAATGTTTGTTCTTTTTACAAAAGAAAGAAAAAAGAAGAATATATGCTCTAAGAAATAAAAAGAAAATAAAACTACCAGAAAGACACCAAATGAAATAGCTAGGAATGTAGCCAGATGTTCCCTCCGGTCTTCCTTATAAGGCAGATTATTTATTCTAAATTTTATTTTTCTGTTTTTTTTCAATTGAAAATAGAATGTTAAAAATATTTCATATTATTTAAAAAAACACAATAAATATAAAAAGACATTTTCAAGATTTTTCTTTCTAGTGAAATAACACAATAAATAAAAATATAAGATAAATCGAAATATATTACACTGAGGACCGGAATGAGTATTTCTTTGTATATAGAGTTTGCTTTGAAGGAAGAAAAATTTGGAGGTGACAACCACCGCCGATGAGCTCCTGAGAAGGGGGCTTTACTTCTAAGTGCAGCTCATTGAGTCACGTGGAACGATTGATGACTGACTGACTGCCTTTCTTTATAACTTGATACTTTTTTTATTTTTTTTTTGGATTCTTTAATTCTTTTCAATTGTTTGACAGACAAGAAATGAAATGAAAGCAATGGGAAATGACAGAATAAAAAATGGTGAAAGACATCAATCTAATCTCACTGGAAACCCATCAGCCTGATGGCCATAAATTAACCTAGCAATTAGTGGCCTACCTGGAATCATATAATGCGTGAAGTTGTTACAAAAAATAATTAAATCAATATTTCCACCTATCCTTAATACGAGTCATTTTGTAAAGTATGTTTTGTTAATTAATAAAAAAAATTAAAAATATTTTTTAATAATTATTAAAAACACAATGAATATCAAAATGTAGTTTTAAGATTTTTCCTTTTCAATAGAAAAAAATTTATTAGATGAAACACAAGACAAATCAAAATTTTTTATAATAAAGACCTGAGACAGTATAAATTTTAATGACGGAACGAGAATTTTCTAAAACTAAAGAGTCAAAAATAAAATTATTTAATCGTTATTGAGGAGTCGAATGACAAAAATTTCAATTATTGAACACCACTAGAAAATGAAAATCCGGCCCGCCATGAGATCGATCAACTCTCTTGACCCCTTAAATCCGTCCATTATAACTTTACTTTAAGACAAAAGAGATACAAATTTACTTACTAAGTATATTTGGTATTTATTTCTTATCCATTGTGGAAAATTTATGATTATCTGTAAGCATGCACGTAGTAATACAGTTGATTCAAAAAATTAAAATAATTGGGACATTTAAATGAGGTGAAAAGACATGCATGTGGGAGAATCGGGAAATGGTGATCGTGAACAGATATGTCCTCTACTACTTTTGTTTGTGACCTAAAAGAAGGGAATACTTTTGATCAACTCTTTTTAGTTATGGGGACATGATTTAATTATCAGTTAATCTACACTTACATCTTCTATTCCTAAAATAGTAAAAAGTGGACAAAAATGTGAACACCGAATATTGCAAGTAAATTTCTTCATAAACTCTCACTCGGGTTCAATCACGAAAACGGGAAGCCCTCTTATCCTTCTAGGGAAAATGAGTCTTTTCATCCTAAAGTTTAAACAACATCGATCAAAATATCCCAAAGTTTAAGAACATGTTTACATTTCAAATTTTTTAAAAACATATTACATTAGAATATTCGTTAAATTTTTAACTCCAGTTAATTAATTAGTGGTGGTAATTTATTCTGTTTCTCCTTTTCCAATTCTTTTTAATCATTTAACACGTTCCACTAATTCTCAACTTATAAGAAAATAATTAAACCTAATTTGGTCTTCACATCATTCCTTCTTTCAAATATGTAGAATTATTATAAAAATTGGTGTTGTAATTGATGGAGGGGCATGTAACTTTTTTGCTTGGCATGGACTAAATTTACCAAAAGCAAGCATGAAACTTTTTTGACTAAAAAAAATAGGAAAAAAGAAACTG